GACACAGTCCCATCTGTATCCAAACCTGGATATAATATAATCTAATACTAGAACCAGAACTAGGAGAGGGTCACAGTCCCATCTGTATCCAAACCTGGATATAATATAATCTAATACTAGAACTAGGAGAGGATCACAGTCCCATCTGTATCCAAACCTGGATATAATATAATCTAATGCTAGAACCAGAACTAGGAGAGGGTCACAGTGCAGTATTACAGAAAAATGAAATTAGACTCTGTAAGTTTATTTCAATTTTCGAACCTGTTTCTAAACAACCAATTAGTTTGTAAAATCATTTATGTTACGGTTTTCTGTTGAGTTTCTAAATTTTTTTTTGAATTCGATTCTTGAGAGCAAGCCTCCATTATAGACCATCCTAGTGATTTTAACAAACAAATTTGTACTCTTACTCAGCAATTATACATTGTAAAAGCGTTTTAAAGGTTTCAACTTAATCCTAAAAATGTTCTCTTTAATGCTGCACTCTTATCTCAATTACCATACCTAAGCCTGCCACTCCCCTTTAACCCTTCTCTTACATTGTATTGGGATATAATTGTTTCAAAGATTAGACTTGAGCTAAAAAAAAATAATTTCGGCGGACAATTATTTTCTTGTTAGGTTCAGTTTCGGTCACATAAAAACTATCCAAGATTTACAAAAGGTTTGAAAAGAACACAACATACATAATTTTACAATTTAAATGCGTAAAAACTAGGATAACACTTACGCAGGCTTAGCAGCACCAGTCTTGAAGGGCTGCAACTTCATTCCTGGAGAAGAAAAAATGAAGATAAAGAAATCGGAATCAGGTCAGGTCTGGAGTAGAAAAAGGGGTCAAATTAAGATCTGTATTTTTAAAGCTTCCTTACAAATTGGAAGAAAAATGATTTCTATGGGGATCGGTCGCAAAACAAGGTTTTTGATTTTTATATGATGCGAGTGTAACTTATCGCGGATTTTTCGTTAAAGCAAGTTTTCACAGAAAATTTGATAACAAATATTGTGATTTGATAACAAATATTGTGATTTGATAACAAATATTGTGATTTGTTAACTGCGTTCAAAATATCCCAAATCAACTCTAGAACTCGTGTATATTGTAATATATAACGAAACCGCAAATAAGCGTTTTCAAACATTTTCTCTTAATAGACGCTAGATAAAAGTAAAATTAATAGTGATCGAATCCAAATTTTATTCGGATTTAGCCTTTATCAACTTTCATTTTTCGCGAACACTCCCTTTAAGGAGGAAAAGAAGATGGAGAAGGGGTAAAATGATTTTTCTACGGTCATAACCAAAAAGGCTTAGAATTAATTGACAGTTAATCAGACGACTTTACATATATATCTCTGGTAATATTAAAAGTACCATAAAGGCAGACCACATTTTGGATTTGGCAGGAATAGGGCTATTTTGTTATTATCGTTTCATTAATCATAAAATTCTGTTGTAAAGTCGTCTGATTAATCATAAATTAATTTTAAGTCTTTCTGGTTATCATTGTATACACCCTGATATATACCTGGTATGTGCAGTATAACTGTATTTGCGCCAACTTTTAAGTCAGTTAAGATTTCTGACCCAATTCATCGATTAGATTTAACATTGGATAATTTCATGAATGGTTTAATGGATTAGATTAACATTGGATAATTTCATGAATGGATTAAATTAACATTTGATAATTTCATGAATCGATTAATGGAAGAAAAAAATAGTTATATTTATTTCAGGCAGTATTGATTGATAAATTAGTGGATTAATTGAAGAAGAAAGATTTAATTTAATACAGTAGAAGTTGCTCAGGATATTTTAATGAACTTTAGGGCGCTTTTCTTATCCAAAGACAATTTTAGCTTTTATCTGTTGTTTCCAGGTCGCCCTTTTTCAACGTACTGTGCTTGTTTTTCACGGATTGTTTAAGCTGGTAGATTTTTGAAAATAATAAATGTACACTTTATCCTATGGTTCACATTTTTTTTGACTTGACCATCCAAAAACCATTTAAAACCATTGTTAAATGTTTTGATTATTTAACATTCAAATAATTGATTGATCGATTTATTTCCTTTTTTAAAAGTTTGATCAGTGCAGGTCCAGGTTAGTGCTAACGGAGCACAAACACTGTGCTTCGCGTCACAGGCCAGGTCTGCTCTAAAATAAGAATATTTGACAATTTATCAAAAAAAAGTCGTAAAATTTGTATTTACAAATAAGCATAGAAAAAATAGAAAAAGAAATAAATATTATAAATTTCCTTTTGCTTTTATTTTTATTTCACTGTAAAACTGATTTCTTGACTTTCAATCTAATTTTCCAATCCTTATATCTTTGCAACCTGATATCGTAAACCATTGATACTACAATTTATTAATTCTGCTAGTTTGAATTTTCTGGTTTAAAATATCAAAGGTTTACACTATATTACTATCAGGTGCAAAAGATATCAGAAAAGTAGGGTTTGAAGCGAGTAATTCAGATTACTTCCTATTAGTGTATCCAACCTTTGATTACTTCCTATTAGTGTATATATCCTTTACTTACTTCCTATTAGTGTATCCATCTTTTGATTACAACCTTTTAGTGTATTCATCCTTTACTTACTTCTTATATTTGTATATCCATATCCTTTACTTACTTCCTATTAGCGTGCATATCCTTTACTTACTTCCTTTTAGTGTATATATCCTTTACTTACTTCCTATTAGTGTATATATCCTTTACTTACTTCCTATTAGTGTATATATCCTTTACTTACTTCCTATTAGTGTGCCTATCCTTTACTTACTTCCTTTTAGTGTATACATACTTTACTTACTTCCTATTAGTGTATATATTCTTTACTTACTTCCTATTAGTGTATACATCCTTTACTTACTTCCTATTAGTGTATCCAAATTTAGGAGTAATATCAACGGTTTGCTTGTCATCAGTTGAATTAAACGAAAATGAAACTGATATTCCTGCCTTCGTCACTAGCCAGTAATCACTGAAAAAGAAGTATTCATTATAAATCAATTTATATTAGGGTAAAAAAAATCAGAAATAAGGTACGCACAATACTTCCTAGCACACTTTCAGAAAAAATAAACCTTCGCAAAAAAAGAAAACTTTAAAGAAGGCAAAAATAATAGAAATTTACAATGATATAAAAAAATGCATTCCACATTTAAAGTTATAAAAATTGCGAGACTAAAAATATTTAGGTCTATTATATTTTATAAAAAGATAAATCATATTTTTTAAAGAAGATTAATAATTTCTTTTTGTTTTTTAGTTTTTGTTCAATTGTTTAACGTGAAATAAAAAAATCTAAATTAAAAAAACTTGCCTCCTCGGAGCTTTTGATCCTCCGACCTGTATGTCCATGTTAATCTCTGCCTCCGAAACAGTGAATTCGGTAGATTTAGATCCTCCTAAAAAAAGAAACAAGATGTGCCTCCAAAACAGTATATTTGCCAGATTTAATTCTCTACTAAAAGTTGAATAAAGATGTAGAGTGCCTCCGAAGCAGTAAACTTGATAGGCTTAAACCCTCCTAAACATTAAAATGAGATGAACCCTGCCTCCCAAACAGTAGCTTTGGCAGATCCTCCTTGATATTTCAAAAATAATCAATATTCAAAAATAGATTATTCGACTAGAATTGATCATCCTAAACCTTTTTCTTCTTCAAACCCGTTAACTTTATTGTTTTTGATAAATACCACATCCTTGACTCCTTTAAATTGTAGGTCCCACAAACAATGAGATTTATAAAATGTGATCTGTTTTTTAAGTAAGATTTTTGTCCAGACATCTTCCTTTTATTTAAGAAACAAATCTATATAACTTCGCTAATATAAAATATATGTTAGCTATAGCTGGCCAAACGGCAAGACCGAATTAGCTGAAAATTTTTTGAGAGAACCCTCGAGTATCCCGGCATAGGCATTTTAGGCATTTATCAAAATTCTAATTTCTTTTCAAAATTCGAAATAAAAAAATAAAAAAATTTATTCGACGGGCAACTCTGGGCACTTCTTAGTATTAAATAAGATGTTACACTTTAACGAATTTTCGCTGTTTTTCTAATTATCACCTTTGTATTCAATCTTGATGGTAACAGTATCATCATTTCTTGAACCAGTCACTGTAGTTTCACCGGACATATTGTAGTACAGTTTCTGTACATGAAATAGTGAATATTAGTGTAGTACAGTTTCTGTACATGAAATAGTAAATATTAGTGTAGTACAGTTTCTGTATATGAAATAGTGAATATTAGTGTAGTACAGTTTCTGTACATGAAATAGTAAATATTAGTGGAGTACAGTTTCTGTACATGACAGTGAATATTAGTGTAGTACAGTTTGCTGTACATGAAATAGTAAATATTAGTGTAGTACAGTTTCTGTACATAAAATAGTGAATATTAGTGTAGTACAGTTTCTGTACATGAAATAGTAAATATTAGTGAAGTACAGTTTCTGTACATGAAATAATGAATATTAGTGCAGTACAGTTTCTGTACATGAAATAGTAAATATTAGTGGAGTACAGTTTCTGTACATGAAATAGTAAATATTAGTGTAGTACAGTTGTTGTACATGAAATAGTAAATATTAGTGTAGTACAGTTTCTGTACATAAAATAGTGAATATTAGTGTAGTACAGTTTCTGTACATGAAATAGTAAATATTAGTGGAGTATAGTTTTTGTACATGAAATAATAAATATTAGTGAAGTACAGTTTCTTTTCATGAAATAGTAAATATTAGTGGAGTACAGTTTACCGGTGAATAACTTTTGAGTCCAGTACTAGTAACCTTCACCAGTTCAAGCAACATTGGACCTAAAATTACAAGTTAATTATTTTTACAAATTTAAACATTGTTTTATTTTAACAATTGGAAGGGAAAACCAACGTAATCTTTTATTTGAAGGTTGCTGTTGACGTAGAAAAGTGTCCAAACTAACCAAAAACGACAATATCTTCCACATTATTTATCAGATATTTAGGGGCACCGTTGGGATTCGGAAAGCCCTACTTTTAAAAATGGTCACTGAAAATTACAAGGGCAGTCAGAAGATTAAAGTTATAATATTGAAATATAAATTACCTGATGAAGCAAGAAAAGCTAAAACATCATCCCCACTCGTTATATTGTAGAAATTCTTCGCAGGCGCTCTATAACAGTAAATCAAATCAAAGATATAAACAATATAACAAAAATTGGGGGGGGGGGGGAACGTAGTAAAAATAAATTATACAAATTCTAAAATAATTTACAATTAATGTTCAAGTTTTTTTCTTTCGAAAATTTTAAAGCGACATGTAATTTTAATGCTTAATTATCCTCAAATACATTTACCAAAAACCCCATGGCTAATATCAGAGGGAAGGTATAATTTAAAAGAAATTATAAACCCCTGGCCGATTGTTATTTTACTTTTTCATACCAGAAAACAATAACACGCTACCATAGTAGTTATCACGGAGAATTATGGTCCAGTAAGGTTTGTATTTGAAAATTAAAACATTTTTTTCTCCACTTTTTATCCAAAATCGTCCAATGTCTTTAAAATACATACTCCTCAGAGGAAACGGATCCAGGTCATTAATATTTCTTGGTTTATTGATTTATTAAACAAATAAAGAATTATTTTTTCTCGCATATTAAAATGCGGAAACTTAATTAACCTTGAATAACCATGTCAGAGAATATCTTTCGTTTGTCAAGAGATGAGACTTGTGTTTTGAGATCAAAAATTACTTTAGAACGGGTTTTCCTTGATATTTTTCCCCTTGGATCTGGATCCGCACATCTTTAGGGATTCGGATCCAAGAAGGCAAAATGTTGCGAATCCAACGTATCCAAATTTTTAGCAGTGATTCAATTTTTTATTTGGTTAATTGTGTAAAGGTTTGAAGAAAGATTTCAAGATTTTTTAACTATTCTAGAGTCTGGACCTATTCTAGAGTCTGGATTCTAGAGTCTGGACCTATTCTAGAGTATTCTAGAGTCTGGACCTATTCTAGAGTCTGCACCTATTCTAGAGTCTGGACCTAATCTAGAGTCTGTAACTATTCTAGAGTCTGGACCTTTTCTAGAGTCTGGACCTATTCTAGAGTCTGGACCTATTCTAGAGTCTGGACCTATTCTAGAGTCTGTAACTATTCTAGAGTCTGGACCTATTCTAGAGTCTGGACCTATTCTAGAGTCTGTAACTCTTCTAGAGTCTGGACCTATTCTAGAGTCTGTAACTATTCTAGAGTTTGGACCTATTCTGGTTGAGGATTGCTCCAGCAATGGGTAAACCAACTCCACCAGCTATATTAAAGGAACCAGGAGCAACTACAATTATAAAGATTGTTGGTAAATGCTAATGTCAGTCCGTTTGTGTGTTTGTCTCTCAAAACCTCTCAACAGTTGAACAAATATGATAAAACTCAAAAACTTGAAAAATGTTTTAGAAAGAACATGTTTAAAATCCGTATCATAAAAAATCAATTTTAAAAAATCTAAAAAAGTAAGGATATTAATAATTCACACAGATTCTGAAAAATAACATGAAAAAAAGAAAAACAAATCCCCCCCCCCTTCCTATTATTATGTTTACTTGAAAAATGTGTATTTTTAGCCTTATTTCAAACACATAACGGAACTGTAATCATATTTCAAAATGAACCTATTTTCAGAGTTGGCCATGTCCGATTCACAACGGTACCATTGAACCCCGTATCTGATCAACAAAGTGGAAGATATTGTCGATTTTCCAAGTGTGATAGTGTTCAGTATTAACAATTCCTTCATGTTCTTCTGTAGTTAAATGCGCAAGCCCCTATTGAAGAGAAACCAAAATTTAAAAAATCAGAATTCAAAATTAAATTATGAACATTGATATCTATTTCATGTCTTAATCAGCCAAAGCTTTTAAAGGTGCCGTTTTGAATCGGGCAATTCCATCTGAGAGTGAAATCACGCTTATAGTCCCATAAGGATATTTATTTAACAGCTATTACTAGTATATTTTGTGACTTTGAAAAGCAATAGCTAAACATGTTATGGGTCAGTCCTAAAAAACGAATTTTTGACTCCCCCACCTATACCTCCAATTAATTTTGTACAAGACCCTTAATTTTAAGTTATTTTCTATTATTTTAGGGTTAGGTAAGGTTTAAACAATTTCTGGGCCGAGTGCTGCAGCTATAACAGGCTACGGGGCCGAGCACTGCGGCCAGGACAGGTCTTTAATTTCAACAATATTCAACAAAATTAGTATATATTTAGGGTTAGGTTAGGACACCTTCTGAGCCAAGCGCTGATCTTAACCTAACCTAACCCTAAAATAATAAAAAATATAAAATAATAATTTTGCTGAAATAACGTACAAAACTGATAAGACGGGTCCAAAAATCGTTCTCTAGGACAGACAAAAACTTTTATTTTTTAATAACGTTTTTTTCACGTTTTCTGTTACCTGGTTTAGCCACATCTATACACAAAGAAAATGAAAACGAGGCAAGAAATATCGTTAACGTTTCCCACCTCATTCTGTCTGAAATAAAACAAATCAAAAAAATTCTCGAAAAGATATTTTTTAATAAATAGTTTTTATCTATAAAATACACGCACATTTAACACATTAACAACATATGTGCAATATAACTGATTTGAAAATAATAAAAAAAAACCTTGGGTCTGTCCTAGTATACGATTTTTGGACCCCCCACCCCCAAGGCCCCCCCCCTCCTATCAATTTTGTACATGACCATTTATTTTTCAGCAAATTTGTTATTATTAATTTTTTGTTATTTAGGGTTAGGTTAGGTTAAGATACTTTCTGGACCGAGCACTGCGGCTAGGATGGGCTAGGGGGCCGAGCGCTGCGGCCACGGATTAGGTTAGTTAAGACACTTTCTGGGCCGAGCGCTGCGGCTAGGATGGGCTAGGGGGCCGAGCGCTGCGGCCACGGGTTAGGTTAAGAAACTTCCTGTCACACCCATGTACAAAATTGATAGGAGGGGGGGGGGGGTCCAAAAATCGTATACTAGGAAATTACCAAAACCTTATAAGTCAACTATGTAGTCAAAACTTGTTCTTTTGATATCATTCAATCCTAATTTTCACTTGAAATATCTTGTGACTGTCACATAGAGGAGTTTCATTTCATTCAAATCAGCTGATTCGCCAGAGTGTATATGTGAGAACAGGGATAAAAATAAAAATATGGTAAATTTAATTTTTTAAGTGCATTTAGTTTCTAACAGTTTTATATTCTAATTTTTCGTATTTTATACTTGTGTTTTTTATTATTATTATTATGTAGAAAGTTTATCCCTGTGTATCAAAACATATGGAGAGTAAGACGACATTCATAGTTTACCTAGATTTGAAATTTTTAATCAAATTCCAATTGATGTTTGTTTCTTAGAATTAGAGTTATTCAATTTTAATTCTTAGTTAGCATTGAGGTTCAACCCATTCCCATAATATAAGATAAATATATACATAAAGTCAGTTCTATATTAGTAACTCCGTACAATTCACTGTGCGAGAGTTTTCATTCCCTGTTTTAATATAAACAGGTAGAGGATCGTCCCTATCATTAGGGATCGATATATAGCTTGTGACAAAGCTAGGCTTGTGTGTCTCTGAGTGGCATTTAGAGCATTGAATTGGATCGATATATAGCTTGTTGATAGCCAGGCTTGTGTTTTTGATGGGCATTTAGAGCATTGAATTGTCCCCATCATTTGGGATCGATATATAGCTTGTTGATAGCTAGGCTTGTGTTTTTGATGGGCTTTTAGAGCGTTGAACTGTCCCCATCATTTGGGATCGATATATAGCAATTATTGATAGCTAGGCGTGTGTCTTTGAGGGGCTTTTAGAGCGTTGAACTGTCCCCATCATTTGGGATCGATATATAGCTTGTTGATAGCTAGGCTTGTGTTTTTGAGGGGAATTCAGCGCGTTGAACTGTCCCCATCATTTGAGATTGATATATAGCAATTATTGATAGCTAGGCTTGTGTCTTTGAGGGGCTTTTAGAGCGTTGAACTGTCCCCATCATTTGGGATCGATATATAGCTTGTTGATAGCTAGGCTTGTGTCCCTGTGTGGCATTTAGAGCAGATCATCCCCATCATTTGGGATCGATATATAGCTTGTTGATAGCTAGGCTTGTGTTTTTGAGGGGCATTTAGCGCGTTGAACTGTCCCCATCATTTGGGATTGATATATAGCAATTTGATAGCTAGGCTTGTGTCTTTGAGGGGCTTTTAGATCGTTGAACTGTCCCCATCATTTGGGATCGATATATAGCTTGTTGATAGCTAGGCTTGTGTTTTTGAGGGGCATTTAGAACATTGACTTGTCCCCATCATTTGGGATCGACATATAGCTTGTTTGATAGTTTGAGATCATGGGATTGTACCCATGTGGATTTTGTCCTGGTTGACTTTGCTAGATAGATGTGTTCCGAGAATTTATTATGGAGTAGGGGATTTTTAGTACAGTCCTATCCCTTCCTATCTTAAATTCATGCCCCTTCTCTTTTTTAATCTCATAATCATAGGTCAACGGCATGTCCATTGCCTAGATGGGTTAGTGGTCCATCATAATTAATTTTCCTATCTTTAATCCTATGCATTTTTAATCCCATCCCTTCACTTCTTAATCCCACCTCTTCTCTTGAGCATCTCATTAACCCCCCATAATTCCCATGTTTAATCCTATCCCCTACTATCTTTAATCCCATCCCCTCTCCTGGCTTCTTTAATTTCCCATATCTTCCCATTTAAACAAATCTTTAGGCAACTTCGCCATGCTTATTATTATACTATTCAAACAGATATTTTACGAAAATATCATATTTCTTTTTCACATTTTATTTCTTTCATTCTGTTTGGTTAATTCTGTTTTAATTAAAATACAATAGTACTGAGATGTAACTTTTTGAATAAATGCTTGGCAACAGCTGAAAACAACATGGCGGCTCCTTTCACCACGATAATCGCAAACTCAATTATTGTGATCAGAGATCCGCCAATATACAGACCCAGGTTTCCTTCAGGGAGGATTTGTTTTAAACATTTCTTAAACAAATTATCATTTTTTTTAGAAAGTTTTCTAAAAAATGATCGTTTAAAAAGTTTAAATGTTAATAATTAACAAATTGGCTTGTGTAATTAGAAAGTTTTTTATGTGCACTTGATTGCTACTTTTAAACATAGTGGAAAAATACAAAAACCAAAAAGAACAAATTACATTAATTACTTTAATTTAAAATCTAAACTTCCCTCCTATATTTGCAAGAAGATCGACAATCCCCTGAAACAATATTTGATTTTAACAACTGAGAAAAGGAATTGATGTCTCGCCTTCTAAACTATATAACTTTGTAACCTGATGTCGTGGGCCTTTGATATTTAAAAAATGTCAGACTTTTTATCTTACAGAGTTTACAGTTTTTAAATATGAAGCTTAATTTATAAAACGAATTCTGAAAACGTATCCACCCCCAAAGTAGGAGTTTTGAACGTCGAATTTGTGCTCAAACTCATGATTTACAGATCTTTTAAAAGTGTAATGTGTCTCCAATGAATCCGAAAGAAGTTTTCCACAAAACTGCATACTCAGTTCAACTACCTTACATAGCCGGTCACTCCCTTTAATTATAAAGTTAAGGATTATAACCCCGGAGTTTGAGTCAAGTTCCCTTGTGAAAACCAAAACTAATGATTGAAGGGATTTAAAGTTATGAATTTTGAATAGCCCTAGTTAAAAAATCAAAGGTTTACGCAATCAGGTTTCAAAGACATATATAAGAACTTCAGTCAAAGTAATCTGATAATCTTTTAAAACTTTTTAAAATCCTGACTTACATCTGCAGTGTTGGTTATTCTTGTATAGAAGAGGGACTTGTAGAATATTTTAACAATGACAAGATTCTCTACATCATCCACCAGATCAGAAAACTCTCCAATATCTCTTTAAAAATAATCTTTAAAGGGAACGCAGACGTAACTTTAGGTGACCCTCTTCATCCAGGTAAAAGTACTCAATTATGATCTAACAGAGGTGTAAAGGGTACCTTTGTAAATCGGATCACCCTTTAAGCGGTTAATGGTGGTTCATGGTTTATTCATTCTTAACAAATTTTGAACGTATATTCTGTATATTCTGTATATTCTGTATATTCTGTATATTCTGTATATTCTGTATATTCTGTATATTCTGTATATTCTGTATATTCTGTATATTCTGTATATTCTGTATATTCTGTATATTCTGTATATTCTGTATATTCTGTATATTCTGTATATTCTGTATAGATGTATATTCTGTATATTCTGTATATTTACCTTCCAATCTTAGCACTTGAGATTTGTGTCGTAAACGTATTAATCTCACAACTTTGTCGACACTTCTCATGAATTTCATCCACAATTCGACTAAAATAAAATAGAAAGATCTAAAAAAAAACTGTCGAAGTAATTTCAAATGAAACTCTATATTTTTTTAAGAGAGACATGTTTTGTCATATTCACGTGGTCTCAGCCAAAATTATGAATATATCCTTGTTATTCATATTTTGTTGTGAAGTGCAGGGTACGGATTTTTTAAAAAGAGACAGACTATATCATATACACTGTGGTCTAAGCAAAAATTATGAGTATATTCTTGTTATTCAATTTTTTTTAAAAGTGCAATGTACGGAATTTTAGAAAATTTGAAAAATCACTGAAATCACTAAGAAAAAAACATTTTTTTTATTAATTTTTAGAGAAAAGTTAAAAGAAAATGTTTTAATTTTCTGTGTGTTTTTTTACTTTGAAACATAAAATGTAAAAAATAAAAGTCTTTATTAAAACAAAAACCTTGAAGATATTCCTTAAAAAAATATTTGTTTACAAAAACCAAATTACAATGAATGCACATTGAAATTTTAATGGTTAAATTTTTTAAAAATATTAATTAATATCCTCTTTGCGAGACAATAGCAATGGAAAAATTTGAATAAAACTTAACTTCCAATCGAGCGAATTTTATCACTAGTGTAGAGAGAGTTATGAATCTCAGGACTACAGTAGTTTAATGCTGTTGAGTTCCTTCCATAGTAGACAGGGTAGCAGCCTAAACTTCTCCTCATCTCTTAAACAGTTTTACAGTACAGTACAGTACAGTACAGTACAGTACAGTACAGTACAGTACAGTACAGTACAGTACAGTACAGTACAGTACAGTTTTACACTCAATTTTCTAATCCATAGATATCTTTTTAACTCAATGTCGCAGACTTTAGATGTTACATGAATTCTGTTAGATAAAAAAATCTAATGTTTAAAATATCTAAGGTTTACAACATCATGTTGCAAAGATATAATTAATAATTTTGAGTTTGTGGCATTGACAAAATTTCTTTAATAGATTTCTTATTCTATGGGTATTCAAAATGATAACGTTCAGCAAATGTTTTCTTTCTTTATAAGTATATAGTAATGCAGGTATTTTAGTACTTTTTAAATTGGTTCATTATAATTCTTACTCTTCCTTAATATAACGGATATAGCTCATCAAATATACCTTTAAGTTTTGATTATGCTGAACAGTTCTTCCTTTTTATTATATTTGCAAGTATTTATTATATTAATAAAATTCCCATTTGTTTAAAGAACTTTGCTCGATTAAACAAAGCAATTAGCATGATGAGCCATTTACTTTTTTTCCAGTTTACAGTTAAAGGGAACTGTATGTTTAATTTCAAGTGACCCTCCATGCAAATATGGCACTGCTCGATTTACAGGAATACCCTTCAAACCTTTGACTGTTAATCGCGAAAAGAGATCTTTGTGTGTAAGTCTCTTGAACTCCGCTTGAATTCCTTTTAAACCCAGTGAACACTGCGTACAGTGTACACTGCGTACAGTTTACACTGCGTACAGTGTACACTGCGTACAGTGTAAGCTCCAGCAGCAAATCTACTGCATAGGTTCCTTTGAAGTTGAAGCATCGAGATATGAATCAGACAAGTCCCTTTACAAATGAACAGTCACTTGAAATTAAGTCTACAGTCCCTTTAAGTTCAAAACTTGTGTTACCTGTCCTTACAACATTCATTTGGCACCGCATCCAGTTGCACTCGTCTTCGATCAAAGTGCATTGCCGCGTCTGGTAAAACTTCCACTCATTGGTACGATCCACAGTCTGCTTATCCACGCTTATCTGATTATACGTACCACGTGGCAGGTGACTCAAACTGGATTTTCCGGAAGCGTAGAAATTCATATTTTCGTCAATGACGGAGATAGATATTCCGTCTGATGTAAAAGTGACTCCATTTTGTTTTTGGTTTGAGCTGTTTTGAAGTTTGACATAGAACATGAACCCAAAAGCTTCATCATTAGTAGGTGCACTAATATTAACTATTTTAAGTTGTTTTCAAAAAATTTAAAATTAGGCCCTCCCATTTTGGTTTAAGACTCGACATTTTTTGGTTAATTTTATTTCAAAGCTTATAGAACCTGAAATATGTTGACACTTAATCAGAACTTGGAATCCTTCATACGTAAGTATTTTGACACATATTTAACTTTTCAAAAGCTTGTTGAAAAGTTGAAAGTAGAAAAAAATTTAATTTTAACATTTTTCAATTTTAAAATTGATCATTTTTAAATGAAAAAAAAACATTCTTGTTGAGATAGTTCTTCCTTATTTTCATTCGTCCGACAGTGCTAAAGCATTTAGATCGTTTATTGTAGAATCCAGAATCAAAAAACTTTAAAGGGACTGTAGACGTAATTTCATGTGACATTCCATGCAAAGATGGCAATTCCCGATTCACAAAAGTACCCTTACAAAGCTTTATCGGGTTAAGTATAAGTTTGAAAACAATGTCTTTAATTTTTAATTGTGATCTCTTTTCAAAAGTGACTTGCGCCTTTCTAAGACAAAAAAAAAACATATATTAATGATCGCTTTCAAACCTACAAAAACGACAATATTTTCAACATTATTGTTCAGATAAAAGTTTGAAGGGTACCGTTGTGAATTCGTTATTGCCATCTTTGCATGAAGGGACACTTGAAATTATGCTTACAGTCCCTTTAAACAGCAATCTTTGCCCAAGTCGGCTACACCTATCTTACAGGCCACAAACAAATCCTTGAATTTGGAATTATATTTTTTTAAATAATAAGAGATTAACAATGTGAAGGACTAATATGATTTATATATTGAACCATCCTGCAGAAAAGTCAGGCATGGATTAGAAAAAAATAATTGTAAATAATGCACACAACAACATCAAAAGCAAGTTTTTAAAAATGTGGAAATCGGCATGCATGTAGCATTGGGACAGAAATAATGTTGCAGGAAAGTGATGTGTTGATCTTTCCTGCGATCATAAATGGTCTTTTTTCTCTCCTTTCTTTTCCCTCTACCATCCCCTCTACAAATCTAACGGATTTATTCCTGTTTGTGTGTGAATTCTATAAATAACCCAAGCCACGCGGAAAACCGAAGCCACGCCGAAAGTTCCCTTATTCCAGAGGCCCGGGTGCTGGTGGGAGGGCCGGCCAGCTCCCGGGGAACTAGGGTTAAACTCTAGCCTAGGGTGGAGTGAAATCTGGGGAAAACAGTTAGTTGAAGACCAGCTCCCTAGTTAATAGGTTCCCCTGGAGATTCCCCATCACTCTGAACTGTTCTCGATTCATGCAATTTGATTTGTATAGTATTTTCCTATAGTTTTTGTATCTTTGCAAATAATAATAAATTGTAAGAAAAACCGACTCGTCGAATATTTAATCAAATGAGTAGTTGCATTGATTCATTTTTCTTTCATGTGTAATAATAATTCTTCCCTGACAAGAATGAGTTAGCTTATCGAGAAGTTTGATTGTATCATTATCATATTCATCGAGTAGTTCGGCATACTGTCTCTGCAATCCTTTTTGTTCTCTACTAGGGGTAAGGGAGGATCTAGGTTTAGGGTTCAGGAGATGGCTGATGTAGAAATACAGCTCAGTGCTTATATTCATAATCTTATATCATCGAAATATTTAAAAAAAATTATTTTCACGAAAAAGTTGCGACAAAAGAAAATTCAAACATTTCTTTGCATATTTCTTTTTTCTAAAATTTTTTAAATTATTAAAATAATTCAGATACAGAGAGACCATGTCAAATATACCATAGATTGCTTGAATGTCATTCTTTTCCACAGTTTTACGTGTTTCTCCGTAAAAAAAAATCATCTACGTTTAGAAACTGAATTTCCCAATATTTTAGCAAATATTTGATGTTCCTTTGCAGCATCTTCTTTCCAAGGGTTTGGATCACAAACCATTATCTAAAGTGTTTTTTTTATTGGCTTAAATTCAGTCATCAGTGGTCAAAACATTTTGTTTGAGATTTTTTTATATAAATACGGATAACTTATTGATCCAGGATTTGACAACACAAAAGATCTAACCTCTAATGGTGCAAATTCAACTTGTTATGACCCAAGGTACTAATGCTAGGAAAGTTATTTCAGAGGTGTACGCATTTTTTGTACTGCAGTGTACTGTCTTTGGGCGGAAAAGTAAACACAAGACGGATGGCACAGCATGGCATGGAATCCATTTTCACAAAAATGAAATATTCCATTATCTGTACTGTACTGTACTGTACTTTTCTGTACTGTACTGTACTATACTGTACTGTACTGTACTGTACGGTACTGTTATGTATTTTACTGTACTGTACTGTACTATACTGTACTGTACTGTACTGTATTGTATTAAATTGTACTACACTGTTCTGAATTGTACTGTACTGTATTGTACTTTACTGTATTGTACTGTACTGTACTGTACTGTTCTGTATTGTACTGTACTGTACTGTACTGTACTGTACTTTACTGTAAAGTACTGTACTGTACTTTACTGTACTGTACTGTACTGTACTCTATTGTACTGTACTGTACTGTACTGTACTGTACTGTACTGTACTGTACCTGTGGTAAGGGGAATTCTCCGTTGACAGCCAGGGGAGCAAAGTTGAATCCTGACTGATACCCAGGTCCGTGAATGTAAGTCTTTAAGGACAAAAAAAAACAAGTTTTTAATAAGTTTATAAGTTTATCCTTAAAAAGAATTGATAATTTGCCATAAACTAAAATTTTCCAATCCCTATATCTTTGTAACCTAATGGTGTAAACCTGTGTTTTTTCAATCTTAAATTATTTGATCTAACAGAATTCATAGTTTGAGATATTGGGTTACAATGATAAGGGATTAGAAAATCAGAGTTTGTGGCAAAGACTCATTCCTTTGTTAGATAATTTTTAGCATAAACATTCAGGCCGATCTTTCAGCCCTCCTGTTGCCTGGTGATCTGTAGAAATTAAAAATTGATGAGAGTCAGGCTTGTTATATTATAAAACCTATAATAAATCGACTCCGAGAAAACACTTGTTCATCATGAAATACAAGGAATTGAGTCTTTGTCACAATCACCGATTTTCTAATCCCTCTTTGCAACTATGAAAATTATGGATTCTGTTAGATGAATTGTTTAAAATATCAAAGGTTTACATCACAAGGTTGTAAAAATAAAGGGATTAGAAAATTTATGTTTAGAATACCTGTACAGTGGATATATGGAGAATACCTGTACATTGGATATATTGAGAATACCTGTACAGTGGATATATTGAGAATACCTGTACAGTGGATATATTGAGAATACCTGTACAGTGGATATATTGAACATGGTTGCTGCTATTAGTCCAATAAAAAATGTTGTGAACCAAAGAAATTTTGTATTAAACGTCTTACTATCAGCCAACCTGTGCACTCCTATAGGTAATTCATCATACAGGGTGTCTTATTAAACATGATCTTTTAGTTTTGATAAATTTATTTTTGATTGGTTTCCCTTTATTTCTTTTTTAAATAGAAATTGAAGTATAATGTTTATTTTTGATTAGAAATAGCTTTTTAGAGAATTTTTTTTATGAGAGTTGTTTAGAGAAAAAGTACAAAAAAAGTAAAAATCCATTTTCTCTTTCTCCTAGACCCTATAAGTTACGCCCGTTGCCCAAGATAAAAATGAAAAAGTAAATTGCTTATTTTTGTTATTTCATTACTTAATTACTTACCATGAGCTGACATATTTTCAAAAAGCTCTTCAATTTTCTTTTCCATCTTTTTCTTAAATAATTTTAGTTGAAATTTTAAAATCTTACGAATCGTTGATTAAAGTTTAAAACTTTAAAAGTATACATTGATAGAGAAGAGATGGGCTCTTTGGGATTTTTTCATTTCGTTCAATCATCGATCGTGAACAACCCATTTCGGGTTTTTTTTCAATCGTTCAGAAAAAAATGATTTTGTTATTCTTAAATATATCGTTTATTTTTCATCTATTTCGTTAGTTTTCTCACTGAACGAACGTCCAATAAAATTTTGTCCGCTAAAAATTTCAAAAGTTTTTTTTGAAGATATAATCGTATGTTCGTTAAAAAACCCGAAGGTTTTTTCAACATCTTTTGGAAAATTTCTTCGTTTAGTTTAAAGCAATCGTGTTTTCAAGATCGTTTTTACTCAACGGATGATTTTCAATTTTGTTCGTTCACAAAAACTACGCCCATCTCTAGTGGACAACTTGACAACTTGACAACTTGACAACTTGAAAACTTGACAACTTGACAACTTGTCAACTTGACAACTTGACAACTTGACAACTTGACAACTTGACAACTTGACAGACCATTTAAGCCTTATACTTTATTTTTTCTGATAGTTTCCTTGGTTAATAATTAGAACCAGAAAAAAGTAGAATTTTCATCTTTTTGTCTTTTAAACATAAAATGTCGCGTCGTGGGGGCTTTAAATTGAAAATAAACTACAGGGTGTCCCACGAAACATGACGTTTATGAATGTCGTTTTCCATGTACTGTATTATTAAAGGCTTTTTGCAGTTTATTTCCTTTAGCAAATCTTTTGCTTGAATATATTTTCCTTTGAATTTTGAAATCAATTTTACTATAACAGGACTCCCATATAATATTTTTATAATTGTCTTTGGTATCAAACAATTAAACAAATTATTCAACAACTGCTCGTGTTTCGTGGGAAACCCTGTATTTCTATAAAGTGCCCTCAGCTGGAAACATTTGTGTTGGATACTCAAAATCCCAATTGCTTTATCTTGATATCCACTCTGGAAACTTTTAAGTGGAGGATCTATATCTTCAATTTAGTTATTTCTCCCCTAATTTAACCCCTGACTGGGTAGGATTGTCATGCAGGATATCGAATAAAGACTAAACTAATTCTGCAGATTAACTAAAGATTGAGGTCGGCTGTGAACAATTTAGGTATTGCAAATTACAAAGTTTTGAAGAAAAACTAAAGACGGATACCACGGGTTTCTGGTTCTCACTGTTGAGTATGTATGATTAAATCTTGTTGATAGGGAATTGTTTTCTAAACTGCCTCTACAGTTCTCTTTATAGTTTATTACTGTTACGGGGATTTAGATGTCCTCGTTCAAAACTCAGCGAGCCTTCATTCTCAACCCCATTATTCTTCATTGAATGAAGATGTCTAAGCCCCTTTTTTCTTAACTTTATGATTGGTCTTTACGTTATAAATATTGAGATGCATTACGCGGCGCAAATGGTTTTAATTTAATAGTTAAGCAACTAAACTTTAAATGTTTTGAAAAATTAAAGAATTTTTTTATAGAAATCTACAAAAATCGATAAAAGCACAATCATTCTCTTTTGTGTTTTAGATTTTGAATGTCTCAGCTTTTCTTCTCAAATTCTTTTTTTTTTGACACTTTAGAGAATCATAAAAGACGTGGACATACTTAGCTTTAGTTAATTCCGCATGCCATAGAACCATCATATTTAGGTTTATAGACATACTTAGCTTTAGTTAGTTCCGCGTGCTATAGAACCATCATATTTAGGTTTATAGACATACTTAGCTTTAGTTAGTTCCGCGTGCTATAGAACCATCATATTTGGATTAATAGACATACTTAGCTTTAGTTAGTTCCGCGTGCTATAGAACCATCATATTTGGATTAATAGACATACTTAGCTTTAGTTAGTTCCGCATGCTATAGAACTATCATATTTGGATTAATAGACATACTTAGCTTTAGTTAGTTCTGCATGCTATAGAACCATCATATTTGGATTAATAGACATACTTAGCTTTAGTTAGTTCCGCATGCTATAGAACCATCATATTTGGATTAATAGACATACTTACTATAGTTTACAAGCTTAGAGAGTGTAAAATAAAAAATAAACATTTTTCAGAATATAATTGCAAACATCATTTTACGTTGTAACCTTCTCCTCTTTTAAAGGGACTGTGCATGTATTTTCAAGTGAGCCTTTTATTAAAAAAAGGTGTGACATGTTGGATTCACAACGGTGCACTGTAAACCTTGATCTGATCAATATTGTTGTAGATATCGTCGTTTTTCTAGCTTTTCTAATATTTTTCTTCATTGTTTCTGCGCAGATCTTTGTTTTTGAGAAACCACAATTGAAAATGACAATTTTAATGAGATAAACATGGATATCTCACTTATTCTTTATCAAACAAAGCTTTTGTAGTCGTAATTTGAAATGATATATTTGTTTCGCTACTTAGCGAATTCCCTAAAGACCTAATGAAACTTATAAGTACCGAGTGGTATTTCTCTGGATAGGATTGTAAGACTTCCTTCTCTCAACTACGTTCTGTACAGATCCTCAGGGAGAACTCAGAGATTCGCAGGGGTATCACATAGACTTTATGAACGCAGCATGGCTCGCGTAACAATATTTAAGTTCTAACTAGATCTTTTAGAAAATATAACTCGCTAAGCAATTCAGGGGCGGATTATGATATTTTCTGGAGCAGGGGAAGCGCACCGAAACTTTTTGCCCCCCCCCCCATGGAAAAAATTGTCCCCCCCCCTTAAACTTTTTGTATATGGAATTTAGTCTATTTTAAGTCAAACCCATGACCAGCTGGCGCGCGGTTGGAAGATTTTGAAAATATACACAAAAATCTGAGGTTTATCATATATATGTAAATAACGTACTTAAAGGAACTGTAAAGGAAAAATGAAAAGGGGTATAGACTGTAACCTGAGCATTTCAGGAGTTGAACGATACCTATAAGACATCTATCTGATGTTCCTGTCTCGAGAAATTGACATAAAACTGTGCCAAATTATACGAAAATTCATAAATATACAATTTTGTTAATAGTTGTAGTATTAAACAGATCATATTCAACAAATACGTAATTAATCTAAAAACGACGATATCCTACAGAAGCCTAAGCATCTCAGGTTTGCTCCTATTATATTTTCTTTTTGCAATTTGAATAGATATATTTGATAATATTATTACATATAGTCCGTAAAGTCCTAATTACGCCACCAGAACTTCAGCCAATAGCAGTGCAGTATAATGGTCACATGATTTCTGTATGTATCACGATGTTTTATAGGTATCGTTTAACTACTGAGATTCTCAGGTTTCATCCTGTACCCCCCCTTTCATTTTTCCTTTACAGTTCCTTTTATTCAGTAATAATATGTGTATTTAGATATATTTATATATTTGTTTATCCAACCCGAAACCAAACAATAGTAAAAATAAATAATGCTGTCAAATTTTTTGTTTTATCATAACAATAAAAAACCTTAAAGTATTCAATATATGTAATGCTAAAAATGAAAAAAGGCCCCAAAAAATATGCATACACTTACAGCATACAGAAAAAACATCGAAACAAGCGTGAATTTTATTCGTGCAAAATCTGAAAACGATTAATAAACTTCGAAATTCCGGAATCCGGAAACGATTAATTAACTCCGAAATTCCGGAATCCGGAAACGATAAATAAACTTCGAAATTCATAAACTACAGAAATCATTATATTCTAAATTATGAACATATTAATAGGAATATAAAAATCTTAAATATTCTTAAATTTCTGTTCATATTTTTGGGCAAAATGTTATGAATTTCAAAATGTTTTAATTTAGTAGAAACCTGGGATCTGTAATCTTAAATCATGAAAGAAAAACATGATAAAGTATATCCTCAACTCGCTAGATGCAAATCTCTCAAATGAGAATGTTTATCTGACTGAAATATGCTAATCAAGCCGATTATCTAAGCAGTTGAAAGGTTTATATCTAAGTATATACAAGGTTGGGTGTATGTATATCCGGTCTGATCAAGGTTAAACAATACTAGATCATATCTGAACATCTAGAAATTCTGCATTTTCGCATTTTAAATAAAAAAAAAGAGAGCAAATGAATGTTTTACTATAAACAATTGGCACTTTGTGTCCCTTTCTTAATATTGATTTTTACTTTTATCATAAAAAATACTTTCACATGACTTTTCGAGTTCTATAATTTGAATTTGAACTCATTGATTTAATCTTAGAACAAACTACAATTTCACAAAACCAACATTTCAATTGTATGTAATGTGCACAGTGGAAGAGGAGTATGGTTGGGGGGGGTCAACAGTGTAGTTAGGAGCCAAGGGGTGGGGAGGCGATTATTAATATTTGCTTTAAAAGCCAACTATAAATGTGCTTTATACATTCAAAGCTGTAATAAAGCTGTGTGCAACAATTTATTTTGCTAAAGTTAAACAAATGGCCATTTATTTTAAATCATTGCATTTCCTTAATTCACAGAACCTGAAGAATGAATTATACAAATATATTAGCTTTTTTCGTTTGATATGAGAAATACAAAAATATAAGTTTTTGATATTTCCAGTTTTCTTGCTTCAAATATCGTTTTGTAAAAATAAGATCTGAAATAGTAGTTTTTGTTTAAATAGGACATTTTGATTAATAAATAAAAACAATTAAAAAAACACATAACAACCCCCTCAACCCCCCCCC